TCCCCCCCCCCCCCCTTCAAATTCATATTCCTAAAAATCATTAGCACTTCACAGCTGCGTGTGATTCCCGGCTGCAGACACTAGGGGTCCTTGCTGACGAGTCAAAGCCCTCTGATTTTTTTTTAACATGGCCAAGAGCAGGGCGAGTCTCCACATGTGGATTCACTTCCTTTTTATGTAACCCATTACCACTTGAATGCAACCAGAGTCCCACAGTGTTCGCAGGGAAACGAGAGTCGGGCTCGTCAGAGGGCTCGGCCGTGAAATACAGCCCAGAACTGAACCCTCAGCTGACGAGGGTCCAACAACACAAGACTGGTGTCTCACAACAACCCCACACAGGCGAGAGGCAGTAAATCAAATCATTTTACAACAGGGAACCGTATTAATGTTGACAAACACCTCGGGACGGTGGAGGAAAGTGTAAAGCTCGGTGGGGGAGGGCGACGCTGAGATTCATGACTCAGGAAGAGACAGGTTGAATCCCACAGCGGCCATCCAGCCTGCAGCTCTGTCTGATCTCTGAGTGCGCTCTCAGCCCTAATTGCTCTTGTAAAACTCTTACCCCCCATCCATTTTTAATGTACAGTAAAAAGATAATGGAAAACGCAGCACAGCCCCCTCTGTGTTAGGATCCACCCTAAGTGGACGCTGTCTGATGCGTCCAATCAAATTGCAGACTTAAACATCGCAAAAATGTCTGGACTAAAGAAATGTGAGGAGGTGAGGAGGGGGTGAGGAGGGGGAACTGGGGTGTTGGGTGATTCTGGGATAGCGCTCGTCCTTCGTTTATCAATCCAGCATTTCATGTGTTGAATAATGAATGTGGAACTAATGGAAGAGAGATCAGAGAAAAGGCCACGTCTCACGTCTAATCGCTCCGAACGAGGTAACACCTTAAAACCCTGCAAGCGTAAATTCAAATCCGAGAATAACTCCTCCGCCGCGCTTTTCAGATTTGCATCAACGTAGTGATCTCTATCAACACTTGTTGCCGAGAAATTATATAAACTAACAATAACATTGATGTTTGTTGGTTCTATTGTTTGATTTTAAGAACGATTACACAAAACCTTGTGGACGGTTCAGCACTAAAGCAGGAGGAAGGATGTGTTACGGGTCAGAGAAGAACCCGGAACATTTTGGTGCAGCTCACGATCATCAGGCTGAGCAAGGAATTTTTTTTTCCCCACTTCATTTAAATTTGAGATTTTTCATCATTTTTAAATTTACCAGAGAATAATTCATGAATCTTGAAGAAAAAAAACATCAGGCACATTTAAGGAACTTAAATGAAAGAGTTGTTTCCACTGTACCTCCTCGGGTTCGATGAGTTTGAACTCCATGCCGCGGCCGGTCCAGGCGATGAAGTGGGCGTTGCCCGGGTCGTCCAGCAGGGCCACCAGGAACTGCCAGAGCTGCAAAGAGCCGCGGCGCTGGTAAGGCGTGCCCTCGCGGAAAACACCGCCGCCCTCCTGCTTCACCTCACCTGGGACGAGGAGGAAAACGACCAGAGATCAGCACGGTCATGGGCTCTGACTTCACAAAGGGGGCCGTGCATCACTTACAGCTATTAACTATACACAGCCCACGATGCAATTCAAACAAGGAGCCTTTCAGTGGTTTAGAGAAGTCAATTTGATATTGGAAATATTTTCACCGGACCATTAAGATTCAATCATTAAATCGAGCTCTACAATGGTTCTTGTGTTACACGTGAAAACAAAGTTGACTCACAACAGCTGCGATGCATCTGAGTCGCAGAGCGGCCGGAGCATCAGTGGGTCGTCTAATCTGAATCTTTCATGTTTGCACACTGACGTAAACTGAGCAAAGTGCTTACTAACAACGGCTTATCACCAACAAGGCAGCAGTGTGACGGAAAGAAAGAAAATATTAGATCGACACCAGCGGCTCGTCTCGGGACGGAACGAAGAACAATCGCTGGTGGAGGAGCGCGTTCGTAAACAGACACTGATTCTCGTTTGCCTCTGTGTTGTTTACCGGTTACTGGATATGTCGTACACAAGCGTGGGAACATGAGAGGCTCAGCTAAGTTACTGCTGGTCTCTCGCGGAGAACCTGCACACTTCAGTGGTTCAACCAGTGCTGGCACCCGTGGGCTCTCCACTCAATCTCCTTTAGTGTCAATCACAGACAAACACAACGAGAGAGCGGCCGTCTCCGTTCCCACAGTGACAGGGGAGCCCTGCATCGTGTGTGCGGAGAAACCAAACCCACTAAGTAAGTTTGTGAGCGCACAAAGACCCGTGTAGGATCTCTGATGTCTGCATAAGATGATAGTCGGGGGTTTAGAGATTGGAGTTGGTGACTCGTGTTTCTCTCCCGTCTACCTGCCGTCATCCAACAAACACCTCACGCTGGAGCGTGCACGTGAAACTGTGTGCAGAGGGATTATGGGTACAGGGCTCTTACCTTCGAACTTCTCTGGAACCACACGGGAGTCATTTTCAAACAGGTAGCCTGGAAGACGAGGGGAGAATCGGGTTAAAGTTTCATGAGGCACAACCAGGGTGTTCGTTTTATAAGGATGATAATAAACTTTATTAACAATACCGTTATATAATATATCAAACATCTTCTTTTACGAAAGTAAACCTGAGCACTTCAATAACAAACAGGGTTTCATAGTGGAAACTTTTATTTTCAGGGCCAATTAACTTAATTCCAACATCACGTAAGAGTCTCTTTAAACCTACGAGGATTTGGGACGAATCCATCAGAAGTTCAATCGCGCAACAAACAATGGGAGTGAGCGGACGGATTGGGTTTTTTTTTTTTCGCTGGGGGAAACTGGGTTTTTCATATTCCAGGACTTATGTTTATTCAGGGATTCTTGAGGCAGGGGTGAGGAGAGAGCTTCTGCCAATGGAAACACACACACACACACACATCTGGTCGGCCAATGAAAACACGGGACAATCTATGCTGGTTAGCCAATGACCGCAGAGCTCCAACCAATGAGGGCTCAGCGAAGATAAAGCAAAGGAGGAGGAAGAGGAGGAGGAGGAGGAGGCGAGCGGATGCATGTTTGTGTAATAAACTCACATCACTATGATTCTTCTAAAGGGTGAAAACATGAAGGTTATTATACGAGGACATTGAAGGTTACCTTCATTGCTGTGCTGCGGGTTTGGGTAGCCCTCGTTGTGGTGGTACATGGAGGGACATCCCGGCACATCTGCGAACACAAACACGGACGCACATCGGTTAATTCTGATTAACGTGTTTTCAAACTTCTACATAGAAACCACTCACAAGGGCTGAATTATTAAAGAATAATCTGATTACACAAAGAAACACAAACAAACCCACTACAGCAGCATGAAAGAGTGTGTGTTTGTGTGTGTGTGTGTGTGTGTGTTGTGTAGAGGCTTTGTGTGTTCACCTCCAGCGTCACAAGGACAAATGCTACATTTATCATATCGCTTCTCTTGTCTCTGCTGGTATTTTTAGGCCATGAGCAAGCACCTTCACCAGACCAGAGAAGTGGTACAGTATTCAGTGTCTGCACTTTGTCTGGGCTCATCATTGACTCAAATAGATTATATTCCTCCTCAGAAAACCTCCAGACAAACTCCTGTGCTCGTAACGAAGGCTGAACGTGAGTCCTGCAAGAGAATTGAGCTGAATTTCCTGCGAATGCTCTTCTCACCTTTGTTTTTCTTGCAGAAATAGTGCGTCACACGCTATTATTCTATATGTGTTTTTCTCTGTCGGCGGCACGAATGAGACGAGAGAATAAAAAAACTGAAAGGTGCAGCTCTGTGCCTCTGGCTCTGGCTGTGACTCACTCCTGGGGAATGCAGCTGCAGCGCTGGGACCGTGATAAGATGCCAGCGAGGAAAATCAAACCCTCCATTCCGGGGCAGCGGCACTCGATTGCACTGTAAATAATATGTCTGCCCCGAAATGGCAGCTGCCACCGGGGAATGATGGGTAGACTGGGTGTGAGAGGGTTAATTGCGAACCGAGTGGTGTGACCATTTCGCGTCTTTCATGCGACACAATAGCAGTGATTACAGAATGCGATTCACACGGCTGCGGAACACCCAAGCATCTTATATGTTGATTTAACCAGACGTGTTTTCAATTTAAAATGGGTGAAGCACAGACTTTCTCCCCAGAGGCCTCGGTTCAACTCCTTATTTTCAATTTCCCGAGAATTATTTTTAGTTTCCGTCCCACGTTAACCATGTTTTAAAAAGCCTTTCGACCAAACCATCTTCCATGTGACTCATGAAGTGGTCCAGGGGAACGTCTTAAATTTAATTTGACGAAAGCATCTTCAAATGTTCCGCCCCTGCAACCCAGCAACCCTGCACTAGCTGTCGAGCTCTGCAGCAAAACCAAGATAAACTCTGATCTTTTGTGTCTGATCGGCCGTTGCACTCGGTCACACTCCTATCAGAGAGGCAGGAAACTCCACCAGATCCAACTTTCTCCTCCCAGCTGATTATCCGCAGACAAACATCCCTTTTATACTTTCCCTCTGTGTTTCTCAAGGTTGTGTGATTCCCTGTCGCTGCTATCCGCCTTCTTATCAGAGGTGAGAGTATCAAAACACGGTGAGAAGAATTGGGTCGCTTCATGGCGTCTCTATGATGCATTAAATCTGCTGGTTCCTTCGCTGGGAGGCATGTTTTTGTAGCCGTGTGCACGTAGAGTGGGAATCTGCACAAAAGCATTGTCAGACCTACATCAGCTCTAGCACGGGTGAATGAGGACAGAATGTATGTGGGGGAGTGTTAGATTTCTGTTTCTGTGCTCTTCCAGTGGTTCAGCTTGTTGTTAAAGCCCCTGAGCTGCCTACTCCACCTCACCAAAACCCCCCCCCCATAGCCCGAACCACGCCATCACCTCCCTCCCCTCACCCCCGCTCCAAGTCCAGCCAGTGAGAGGTTCGGGTTACTGCGGCCACGCTCATTTTTCCATTATGAGTTCATCTGCCTGCAGAAAAAGGAAGCCGCTGG